TGGGGACATGGTTGAAAACCACCGTGGGCTGTGTTGTCAGTTAAACTCCCACAGATCCATCCTCTGCAAAGAATTAAAAATAAAGGGGTGAAAATCTATTTCTGGCTGGCTGGGCCAAATGTGAGAGTTTCAAATGTGCTGTTTGGGATTTGTGAAGTGCTCCAACCAGGGAATTCCAGCCCTACCTTTGTGCTGACAACAGGATTTATGCTGGAGGAAGTTCATCGTGTTAAGAGCTGGAATTTTCAAAGCTCACAATTCTGCTGATAAGTTCAAAATAAGGCAGAAATGTTCATTATTCTCTTGACTGTAAAGAAAACATTTCTGGTGCTGTTATTAAGATGTATTTGTGACTGGCTGGGTTGAAAATCTGCACAGGCTTCCCCCAGAATACTCAGGGAAACACAGGATTTAGGAGTTTCCTTTTCTTATTTGTGGGGAATTAGTTCCTGCTCCATAATTTGTCCCAATTTGCCATGACAAGACCTGTAACCCTGTAATACCTATCTTTGTACCTATTAATTTGTCATATCGTCCCTTGTCAAGATAAATGGTAGTGGCAACAATCTCAGAACACTGAAATCTGTTAAATAAATCAAATGTAGGGTTGATTTATTTAGTTTTAAAACTTTTTGGTAATTAATAAATAAGCTTTTTTCTGTTTGGGTAGGACAGCTGTGTTGTGGTTGCTCAAAATCAGCACTCTCTCAACAAAGTCCTTTTGTCAGGGGGTTGGGTGGAGAGTTGATGCGAGGTTTCACACAATTTGTCAAAAAAACCCTAAACTAGAATGCATATTTTATGATAATGATTAAAAAAAAAATCTTGAGTTTATTTTAAGGAGGGGGTCAAGGAAAAAAAAAAATGTTCTTCATATAAACCTCTGCATATAACACCTCTCGTTTCCTTCTGCTGCACACTATAAAATAACAAAAATAAGATCTGGAACTTGGCTTCTCCCTGGCACCAGAGCTTTATCTGGGACACCAAAGCACGGCAGGGGATGGAGGGGATTTTCCTGGCCACTGGGACTGGTGGAACTCACCAGTTTGTCCCTCACTGCCCTCCAGCTTTGCTCAGTAAATGTCACTGTGTACAGCTTCACCAGTGCCAGGGTCTCACCACCCTGTGAGCAAAACATTTCTTCCCAATCTCTGATCTGACCCTGCCCTGTGGCAGTTCAAAACCATTTTCCCTTGTCCTGTCACTTCCTGTCCCTATAAAAAGTCCCTCTCTCTCCTTTTTATCAAACAAGGCAGAGATAGAACAGGTCTCAATACAACCCCTGCCCATGAAAAGATATTTTTTTTTAGATTATCTCAGTCTGTGCTTGTCCTGGTCTGAACCCTAATTTCAAATCACCCAAGGCATGGGCTGATTCCTCTCCATTATTCTCTCTCCAAAAACAAAGGTGAGACAAAATGTCTTTTTCTCATGGGGAATTCCCTTTGCAAAATGTCATTTCTTTCTTCCAGTAGGCACTGGCTAAACCTGGGGAGTTTTTTCACAGATTTTCTCCATCTTTTTCCTCATTACCTGAGTTTTGGCATGGCTGGTGGCACAGAGCTTCACACAGGTAGCTCAGAAGGCCCAACAGCACCACTGAGTGACCAGCAGGTCCTGTGGTACCCACAGCAGCAATTTCAATGGTAAAAAGGAAACTTCTGACTAAAAACACAGTTGCCTTCACTGAAATGATTTTTTTTTATGATGACTGGGCCAGCTGGGAAAAAGTGGAAGAAGCTTCAAAACCAGATCCCAGAAGCAGAAACATCTGATTTGCAGGCAGTCGTATCTGCTACGTGCTTCTTCAGAGCTTTGATGGCTTGGCACCATCATCCTCCAATCTCTGATCTCTCCAAAAGGAGCTATTTTCCATGGAGAAAAATGTCTTTGGCCCACGGCGCTCTTGGCAGATGCTGCCGTGGATGTGATGTGGAATGGCCTCGCATCCAAGCCGGCTGCCAGATGTCAGATTTGGCTTTGCCTTTGGATCGAAGATGATGATGCTAAGCAGATCCTCCCTGCTTTGAAGCTCCCTGGCTGTCAGTTCTCCAGTGAGCCACTGGAAAAAAGCAGCACTTGACAACCTAAGGGAGATCAGATGCAAAAAAAAGAAAAAAAACCCAAAAACCGAAAAAGTCGCTTCCAAAGGTTCAGAATTCAGCAAAAGTGCAACAGTGCTGAGTCTGCTTGAGGAGGAAACAAGGCTGGAAAAATTGGGTGGAAATCCTGTTTATAGGGGAAGCTCTGGTTTTTTTTCCCCTTTTGCCCATGCCTGAGTTTGACCATATTTTTCTCCTCAACTCAAAGGAAATATGTACGTATTTCCTTTAAAAAAAAAAAAGTTTATTTTTTTATACAACTCAAAATGCTTTTGCAGGGAGTTAATTGTAGCAAGCCAACATTTGTCAAATCCCCAATAAATATCCATCAAAATGCATCAAAATGCTCAAAAAAGGACCCACATCTCCCAACTCCAGCAGCAAAATCTTCAGTGGAAGAAGAACCAGAAATAGGAACCGCTGGTATTTCAGCTCCATTTTCCTCCTCATGGGGAAATGTGATGTGGGACGAGCTTGAAAAATAGCAGCAGTTCCTTGCAGGTTTTTTTGGGGATTTGGGTTTTTTTACCCTGTTCCTGCAGGTTTACTGGGGATAGGGAGGATTTACTTAAGTCTTTATCCTTATCATCAAAATATGTAGGTTTTTTGGGGGACTTTTGTGAGGTTTTTTGGGGTTTGGGGTCTTTTTGATTGTTTGGGATTTTTTTTTTCCTTTTTTGTTTTGTGGGGGGTTTTTTTGCTTGGTTTTTTTGTGGTTTTCTGTTTTGTTTTGTTTTGGTTTTGTGTGTTTTTGGGGGGTTGTTTTTTTGGGGGTGGGGATTTTTGTGGTGATGGGGGTCGGGGTGTTTATTTTTGTGGGTTTTTCTTTTTTTTGCCTTTGTTTTTCTTTTTTTCTTTTTTCCCCACAGCATCTTCAGAAAGGACAAAAACATTTCCTATTTTTGGTCTAAAACTCCTCCTTTTCCCCCGCAGTCCACAGGAGCAACCAAAGGAAACAGCAAATTAGAGGAGCACAAACTAAGGAAAAGGATTTAACCTGCTCTAGGCTGTGAGAAGAGCTTCCCTCTTGCTCATTTTCAGCCTAACCACAGAAAAGTGAAATAAAATGCTGCTGGCAGTGAGGTGAGGTCCATCATGGGTGAGGTCAAACCATCCTGTGAAGGACAAACCCCAGGCAGAAAATATTTGTTCCTCTGTGGGAAGCACATTTGATGTCTGATTCCATCTTCTGTCTGATGCAGCAAGCTCAGCTTTGAACATATTTATATTTTAATATATTTATATTTTAATATTCCCTTTGGATCTTGGATATCTCCACCCATAAGTGAATAAATACTTGATTCTGATACCCAAGAGCCTACCTAAAATGGCACCCTGGAGACTACCTAAATTTTTTTTTTACATTTATTTTAATTTTTTTACAATTTATTTTAAATAATTTATTTTTAACTTATTTTTCTATTTTAAATTTCCACTACTGCCTCCTCCATTCCAAGAAATGAGGGTTTCCATCTGACTGCACAGCAGTACCTCAGTCCTCATCAGTGATTTTTAATTAATGAAAATTATGAATGCAGAGAGATGTGGATGGAATCCAAGGATTGGCTCTGGATTGGAAAGTGATAAACTGGAATTCTGCTTAAAAGAGTGTAATGAAGGATTTCCTGGGAGTTCTGCAGCAGCTGATTTGAATTCTGCACTTGTTGATGCCCTCTGACACTTTCAGATACACCTCAAATCTCAAAAGAACCCCTGTATTTACTAAGTCTGAATAAACTCAGATGTGGTGGGGTTTTGGGTTGGTTTTTTGTTTTGTTTTGTTTAGTTTTTTTGCATATTTTTGTGACAGGTTTTTGTATAATTCTCACAGTTACTGAAAGTAAAGCAGGAAACAGCGGGGAAATCCAGTCCAATCAAGGCTGCTCTTGCTAAAGTCAGCAGCAACCTGAAATCTCAGCAGAACTTCCAAGGTTCATTCATAAAAACAGTTAAATTCAGGGCTGTGTTTGACTTGAAGGGGAAGCTGGGCCAGGGGACTAATTAATGCCATTAATTGAGTTAAAGATACTTGACACCATCCCAAAATAGCCTGAATTGCCAGAGTCTGGTTTGTCCAAATATTTTTGTTGCTTTAGCTGATTCACATTGTTCCTTGCCCGTCACAACTTGATTCAGTTTCATTTTGGAGTTGGGGCAGCCGTGAGATCAGGAGTGTTTAAAATGAGAGATAAATCTCTGCCAAAACCACTGCAAGAAACCCTGTTCTGGTTGAATACAGTGGAAAAAAACAAGTTGGACAAGATGATCCCCAGAATTCCCTTCCAACCCTAATTATTCCCTGATTCCGTGATTAGAGGGTATTTTGAGCATCTTTACATTTGGTTGTGTTATAATTTTTCAAGGTTATTTCTTGTAGGTTTCCACCTTAGAAAAGTCAATGCCTTTCCTCAAAGAATTTCTATCCCTGACCATCTGCACAGTGGAATAATGCAGGTGATGGGAGACATTTTCAAATTCGGAATTATTATCAAGTAAAGCAGAATTATCACTCTGTAAGGTAAAGACATTCAGAGTGGCTTTGTGCTGAGAAAGGACAAGCTTCAATTTTTATGGGAATAGGTGGTGTTTATTTTCATATGGTGACCATTGTCCAGGTTGGGTGAGGCCTCTGGGAGGCTTCTGAGTGCCCAAGGTGTGTCTGTGGAGGCCTTTAATAAATACCTGCTCTTATTCTCTTAATCTTGTCTAGCCTCTGTTCTACGGAGCCACTCACAGAATTCCCAGAATCACTGGGTTGGAAGAGACATCCAAGACCATCGAGTCCAACCCAGAGGTTTGTGTTCCCAGCCCCTCTCCAGCCTCGTTGCCCCCTCTGGATGTGTTCAAGCATCTCAATGTCCTTCCCAAACTGCAGGATCCAGAAGGCATCCAAGGCATCAAAACCGTTTTTCAAACCGCGAACACAAATCCTCCCCATCCACCGCGCGGCCGAGCTTTTTCTCCTGGCTCAGAGCGACACCCACCTTCATAACTCTGTGCAAGGTTGTGCCTGATGATGTTCACTGGCTGCTCAGGGAGGCTTTTGGAGGGTGACTGGCTGCTGGGAACCAGGGAGTTTGCATAGTGCCACTGGCACTCGCCGTTGGTCTGCAGCGCGCCCAGGAAGAACCGTGCCACCTCGCAGGGTGCCCCTTGGGCCTGCCCGAATTTTGCAGGCAGCATTTGCTTCTTGCCACTGAAGACGTGGGAATCCACAGGGAAGTGTCCATAGTGGTAGGAGAAGGGCAGGCTGTAGGGAGGGGCGTACAGGAGTTCGCTGCTCTCTGAATGGAAGTTCTGTTCCTGAAGGGCGGCGGCGCTGGCAGCGGGGCTGGAGCGCCAGCTCCCCACCTGGCTGCATTCCAGTTTGTCTGCTTGGAACGAACTGTATTGCTGGGAGAAAGAGAGGGAAAAGAGCAGGGGAAGAGAGTTAAAGGAGGAACTTTTGTAGGAAAGTACAGGACATCTCAGACAGGCACCCAGAGCTGGGACTCACTGGCTCAAGGGATGGACTGAGCAGCGCGTTTGAAGTTCCTCTCTTCGTGACCTTGCCTTCACGTGGGAACAAAAATCCTGCTTTGAGTTGATAATTTTGGCACTTCAGTTTTCCAGAATCACAGGACTAAGGCTGGAAAAGCCCTCCCAGTCCACTCAGTCCAAGATGTGCCCAGTGACCACCTTGTCCCCAGCCCAGAGCACTGAGTGCCACATCCAAGTGACACCTCCCAGGATGGGGACTCCAAACCTCCCTGGGCACCCTTTCCATGGGGAAATTCCTCCTGACATGAAGAGCTCCACACACCAACAATAAATGACGCACATTCTACACCAGCACAGATTTTCACAGCACAATTCCAAGTACAAGATTTTCTTCTTTTTGCGAAGAAAGAACGTCGTGTTTGAAGTGCTTCACACACTCCATATCCCAAAGGTTTTACATCACTTGCCAGAGCTGGTTTGTGCTACCTGTACTTTCCACCCTAAGGAAGAAGGATCTTATTTTGTCCTGCTTTATGAGGGATTTCCTGGGGTGGACAATCCTATAGTCTGTTTTATAGTAAATTCTCTACACTGTCCCAAGCACTCAGTGAGAACAACTGGTAATTAAATATTGCTGGAAAATTTACCTGTGGCGGGTAAGGTGTTGTTCTGAGTTTTGCCTTCATTTTATTACTTTTGGGTTTTACTATTTTCCTTGTTTCCTGCGAGGTAGGTACTGAGTTTCTGCATGAAAACTGTGACTTGGAAATGGTAACCTGGTCCAGTGACAACTGAAGTTCCTTGTACTCAATATCTCTGCAAAAGAACAGCCCAGTAAATTAAAACCATGGGAAAATCCAAACTAACTCCTGTAAAAATACATGTTAGCATTCACAGGGCTTGAATTTTTACTCTTCCAAGATTTTCACAGAGTCTGGGGATGTCAGGAGGCAGAGAATCTTATGGGGTGACCTCATTCCCATGGAAGTCTATAAAAAAATTCCACTGGGAATCACATAAACACCTTTGGGTGAAGTGTCCCCTCTCTCTGAGCCTGAGCTGTATCATCTTCCCTCAGCCATCCCTGGCTCCCTGTGGTTTGTAACCATGGAAAGACAGAGATCAAGTAATCTGTCTCCTGCTCAGCCAGGAATTGGTCTCTGCCCTGGGGAAAGGAAAAGGAGCAATGTTCCTCCTCTGTCAGCAGCGTGTGCTTGTAACTAAACCACACAAGCTGCAAGATTGGTTTTGATCAAAAAATCACAGAATATTCAACTTTGGAAGAGATCTTCAAGCTCATCAAGTCCCACCATCACCCAGCAGCACCAGCATCACCCCAAGGGCCCCATCCAGACTCCTCTTGAATAATTCCAGAGAGAGTGACTCCACCTCCTCCCCATGGCAGCTCATCCCAAGGCCTCATCACTCTTTCAAAAGACAAAACCCTTCTAATCTCCAATCTGAACCTGTCCTGACAAAATTAAGGCCATTTCCTCTCCTCCTTTCCCTTGGGACAAGGCAGCAGAGCCTGACCCCCCCTCACTGCCCCTCCTGTCAGGGAGTTGTGCAGAGCAATGAGATCCCCCCTGAGCCTCCTTTGCTCCAGATTGAACCCCCCAGCTCCTTCATGAGATGCTTCCCAGCCCCTTCACCATCTCCACTGCCCTTCCCTGGACAAGATGAAGATCTATATAATAATGATAATAATTAATACAGCAATGTTTTCTCTCAACTGAAGAGATGAGATCGTACAAACAGAGAAAGCTGCAACACGCGAGCACAGAACGACACTGGAAGACACAAGCCAAGAAAACTTGGCAGATTTAATCCTTAGTGACTCAATTAGTGATAACAGGTAATGGTACAAAGTATTTGGACTTACGTAAGGACATAATTGACACTCACTATGCAGTGAGGCCGTGACGAACGGCTGTTGTGCACGATGGTGGCGTAGCTCTGCACCCACACCCAGCCTCCCTGCTTGGACAGCAGCCGGTAGTACTTGGTGGTCACTTGGCCTTTCACCAGCACTGTGAACACAAGGAAAAGAATATGTTTTAAAAATTCATGTTTTTTGGTCTCATGACCTCTTCCTGGAGAGGTTTATTTGCAAGCCAAGCGCTTTTCTCCCTCACGGAATCACAGAATTAGTGATGTTGGAAAAAACCTTTCAGATTTCTGAGTCTAACCTACGTCCTAACACCCTCCATCCTCTTCCTCGCAACAAACTTTAAATAACCCCCTGCAAAATTATCTATGCTGCCCTTTTCTATAGATTCATAACACCATATTATTATTTATATAAAATGTGAAGTCTCCTAAGTTTTGTATTCCTTCTTCTCTGGGTCACCTATGGTTGCATTCTTCACAAACACTGCTTTAAAATTTCTAACTGCAAAAGAAAAGTTCAGGGCAGCAAAAGTATTTTGAAGTGGACACAATTCTTTTGAAAGGAGAGGAAATGGCCTCAAATGGCACCAGGGGAGGTTCATGTTGGAGACTGAAAAAGAAAATTTCCCTGGAAGAGTGGTCAGGCCTTGGGATGAGCTGCCCAGGGAGGTGTTGGAGTCTCTGGAAGTGTTCAGGAGTCTGGATGTGGCCCTAGGGGACAGGGTTTGGGGTGAGGACTGCTTGATCCTGAAGGTCTCTTCCAACCCTGAGGATTCTGTGATTTTGAGATTTTTTTCCAGATTATTTGGAAGCACTTCTTTCATAGCTTGACAGATTATCATATATTTTGCAATGTATTTTATTTTGTGATGGTTGTTTTCCTCTGTAATCATGAAGGTTGATTTAAAAGGGTAAAATTGAAAAAAAAAAATCTTTGGTTGGGAAGCACCCAAACAAAGGCAAGGACAGAGAGGGGAATCAGATATCTGATAAATTCACCGGGCATGTAATCCTCCCTGAGCTATTCTGGATCCTCTGTGAACAAGGATATTTTGGCAGGAGGCTGTGCTGTAACAGGAGTTGTGCAGCATCTCCAAATATTTAATCCAACCACAAATATTTTTGGTTCAGTGCCAGGCCTTTATCTTAGGATTCACTAGAAGATAATGCCCAGCCTTTGAAGCTGGTTCTTCTCTTGTGTGGCCTTGGATCATTCCTCTGGAAACTCCATCTTCTTACTCTCCTATACAGTTATTTATTGTAAATTAGGGAATCAGGGACTGAGCTCGCTGCACAAATTGTGTTGAAAAAAAGTGGGCAATGGCAGAAATTCCTTTCTATAAATATGGTTAAGAAATGAAATCTAAACCTGCTCTTTATAATTTTAAAACCTTGTCCTGTCACTTTTTTTCTGTCACTGACGTAACCAGAGGACACAGTCTCAACCTGCATCAAGGGAAATACAGGTTGGATATCAGGAAAATGTTTCTCATGGAAAGGGTGATGAAGTTCTGGAATGGCTGCCCGGGGAGGTGCTGCAGTCACCATCCCTGGTGTGTTTAACAAAGCCTGGATGTGGCACTGGGGACCAGGGTTTAGTTGAGCTCTTGGGGCTGGGTTGGACTCGATGGTCTTGAAGGTCTCTTCCAACCCAGTGATCCTGGGAATTCTGTGAATTCTGTGAATTTTGCCCATATAAAAAATCCCTCTCCTTCATTTTCATCCATTTCCTTGTGGTACTGGAAGACTCAGTGAGGTCTCCCACAGTCTGGAGCACATGGGCCATCCCTCTGGGCTGCTTCTTTTCCTATCCATTGCACATCTCAACATATTTAAACTTTCCTTCAAATCCAGTTTACCTCCCAAAGAAAATCAGGCTCTTACACAATTGACAGGTCTTTCTGGGAGTGTCAGTTCTTCCATTTTAGGATGAGGTGCCCACGTGTTCAGAAGGCAATAAAATGAAAACACCTAAAACTGTCTGCAGCTCTGATCTCTGCTCCCTGGGACAGGGACAGCATGCAGGGAAGGGCTGGAGCTGGCCAGGAGGGATTTAGGTTGGATTTTAGGGAAAGGTTCTTCCCCCAGAGGGTGCTGGCACTGCCCAGGCTCCCCAGGGAATGGGCACAGCCTCGAGGTTGCCAGAGCTCCAGGAGCCTTTGGCTAGCGCTGCCAGGGATGCCCAGGGTGGGGTTGGTGGAGGTCTGGGCAGGGCCAGGGGTTCCACTGGATGATCCCTGTGGGTTTATTCCCACTCAGGATATTCCATCATTCCATGATCCTGCAGGACATTCAAAAACACACCCTCCATGGTGGTCATCAAGCCACCACTATCTGGCATTTCAAATCTCTCTTAGGTATTTCTGCCTCATTCTTGCTGGTGTTCCTTCCACTCCTACATTTTTACATGGATTTCTTTATGGGAGGAGGGTGTGCATGATTAAAAAAAATCATGAGGAGTGTGTGTGTAAGTATGTAAACACATACAGAAAATATAAAGACATTTGTATTTTTTAAGTGCAATTTATCACTGCAAGTTGAAAGTCATAGAGTGGCTACTCAAAGATTCTGTTCTAAAAATATTAATGATTATCTCTATGCCACAGTTTTACTATTTCTTGTTGTTCTATAATTGTGGATGGTGCTCTATAGCTGTGCTGTCCCATCCCTGTAAGTGCCCAAGACCAGGTTGGACAGAGCTTGGAGCACACTGGGATAATGGAAGATGTCCCTGCCATGGCAGGGGGTTGGAATGAGATGATCTTTAAGCTCCCTTCCAACCCAAACCATTCTGTGCTTTTATGATTTGGTGATTCATTCTAAAATCCAAATGGTCCTGTTCCAGGAAATAATCTTTACATTTCAGCACAGGCCATGTAACAGGTAATTTTTGGAATGTGGTCTGGGCTTTTCAGAACTAGGTCTTTGTGCTGGTTTAATGAGCACTTTTTCCTTGAGTTCCAAATGCTTTGCTACACTCAGTCTTCCTGAAGAGAAATTAATGCTGTCATGGATCACTAACTATAACAAAGTTCTTCCGTGTGCTTTGGGACTAGTTTTGGCTTTTCTCCTCTCTCACTGATTTTTTTTTTAAATCCCTCTTTTAGCTCTGCATTAAAGACAGTGTTTGAAAAGATGTGAAAACCACTGAGGGCTACAGTGTTCAGCTTTCCTTCCTAATTATACGGATTAACCAGTATTTCTCTGGGGATGGGGGAGGATTCCGTGTCTCCTGATTTTTTAGCAATCTGGGGAAAGTCTGACCTTGGCTGAGGGACAGTAACTGAGACAGTGAGTGAGCTCAGCTTCCATCTGGCTCTGTGCTCAGCTGCCCTGTTTGATGCTGAAAAGGAAACCTCAGGAATGGGAGTGAGGCAAATCCACCACCCAGACAATCTGTGCAGGCTCAGACTTCTTGGTGGCCTCTGCTGCAGCCCAAGGAGGAGGATCCCGTGGCTTTCTCCTCTGGATGTGCCCTCTGTGACTGGGTGTTCCAGGGCTCTGGCTCGCTCCTGGTTTTGCAGGGAAGCTGGGAAAGGCTCTGGGCTGTCAGACAGGACTATTTTAAAAGGTTCCACCAGGCTCCCAGGCGTGTGGCTGGGAGTTCCCAGCCTGCACTGAAGGATACCACTGCAAGAAATGGATTTCTTGGTTCCACACTGGCAGCAGATCCTGGTTTAGATGCCCTGGCATGTCATGGGCACGGCCCCTGGGCAAGGCACGGTGCCCAGCAGACTCTTTGTTTTGTTAGACCTCTTAAAATCTGGTGCTGCTCTGCCAGGAGTTTTGAGTGCTGGCAAAGCAGAGGCAGACCCAACACCAGAGATGGTGGAACTGAGCTTTTCTGTGAAATAACCCTACAAATACTTAGGGTGACTTCCAGGGAGCAGGATTGGTGGGGACACCAGCTGGGCTGGGCACAGAGACCTCAATCCTGTTCAAGTTCCTGTGGGAAGAGCAGGGATGCCCAAAATCTCCCTTAAAATGCTACAAATGAAGGGATTTCTCTGAGGGCACAAAGATATTTTGTCTGTACTGGAACTCTGTCCTGTGTTTTAGAGTGCAGGATCCTCCAGCAGGGCCTCCTTATTTGTGTGGCCACATTTCAGGGCAAACACTGTGTGTATGAAAGGAGCTCTGGAAATAAATAACACAGCTTCAAACACCACAAGTGTTTTCCTTGAGCTGGAAGCCAATCAAATGTTTCAAGCAGGAAACTCTCTTTGCTGCCAGCACACCTTAGGCAAATATTCACATCTACATTTCCCTCCTAGGTTGATGTTCTTGTTCTATCCCTCCTAACTTGCTCCCCTCACTGTTTCCTTTGTTTTATTCCCTGTGCTGCCTCACTCTGAGTTCAGCTGCTTCAGGGCTTCAGTTTGGGATTTTTTTTCCCTCTTAAAAAAAGCAAATGGTTATCCTAGTTTAGGGTTGCTTATATTTTTTTTTTTCCCTTAATACCCTTATTAGGTGTAAGATGTTTCTCTTTGGATTTCTGCATCAGGTGACACTTCATCATCAGATTGCTTTATAGAATGGTACAACAAACCTGCCAACCTTCCACTGCTCATGTTCCTGAGACATTTGCTGATGGATGCTGGGGGAGCTCTCACACTGCTCCCCAGAGGGACTTTGTGCACTTTACATCTGGTTTAATAATTCCCATTACTTGGTATTCCAACCATGACCCTGCACTGTTCCCACTGCTGCCCAAACATTACTCATTATTTTGTGCTTCTTGGGATTTATCCGCGTTCATAAATTCCTATGCATGGCTCGCATTTTTCTTCTGTTTTTAAAGTTTACAGTAATTCATCTTTAATCTACAGAACTGCTCTTAGTATCCTATTTGGCTGAGGGATTTTTTTTTCCTTGTGGAAGGATGTGGTGGGTAATTCAGTGAACATGATTTGTCTCTTCATTTAAAACTCCAGTCGTACATGGATCAAACTGGCAGCCACAGAATTATCCATCCTGCTACTCTAAAGTGGAAAACTGTTTTCCAGAGGTGATTGTGGCTGTGGTGGCATCATCTCCGTGCTGGCTGATGAAGGTATTTCAAAGAGTCTGGTGGAAATACTGAGTTTATTCTGAACAGGTCAACAGTCACATCCACATGCAGATGTCACCACTACAGAGAGGGTGCCCCTGACAGGATTTTCCATGTGCCCTGGTCATTCTTTTTACCAGTTCTCAGCCCAGAGTGTTCAATAATGTTTTGGTAAATCTGAACTCGCTGTAAAGATCAGTTTTTGCTTTCCCAGGTGTAGCACACCCTGCCACCGGCAGAATTCAGCACTTGCAATTTCAGCTTGGACTTGCCCAACACAGCTACAACCTCCTTGGTATTCCAGATCCTCATCAGTAGCACACATTAAGAGAAGAAGGAAGCCTAAAAGAGGGATTTGACTCTGGCTGCTTCCAGCCTACAGGAGCAATCTGGAAAAAAAATTCCCTGACATTGGTTTTTGGATGTCATCTTTGCCTCGTATGGGTTGCAGCAAACGGAGCCAAATCCAGAGTTCAGCCATTCCCTCAATTTGCTTTTCAAATTAATGTGCTACTGAATGAACTCCTTCCCAGATCCAGATGTTTGAAGATATGATTAGTGACTCTGTTGGAAGACGGGAAATTATTAAATGTCATTTTTTTCCTGACAATCCATTCTCCGAACCTCATCCACATGCTACTAATGAATGTCCCTCCAAGGAGTTTTTGGGATTGCATTCCCTTCAAACACAGGATGATTATTACTAACATATTTCAGAGGAATGCAGAGCTGCTGCATAGTTTTTGTTTTAACAGCAGAGGCTAGTGAAGTTCAGATTTTCCCCTCTCATTTACTTGCTCTTTTGGTTTACTTTTCCTTCAAGAGATCACCATCCAGAATCAATTCCAAATATTCAAAATAGCCTGGATCCCCTAAGTATAAAAACTGGCCAGATAAGTTGGTTTGGGTGTTGGTTTTTTCTTTTCAGAAGCCCAGCATATCGAGCTGTATTTACACAATTAATGGTTTCCTTAAGTGATAGCCAAGAACTTTTGAAAATCTGTCTCCAGTCAAGATTTGGAAAGGATTTTTTTCTGCTTTACAGCATGCTGCTTGTTGTCTGCAAAACTTCTCACTGTACTCAACCTATTCCATAGAATCCCAGAATGGTTTAGGTTGGAAGTGCATCCCTCTGCTCATCCTGGAGCCTCCTCTGGGCTCTCTGCAGCAGCTCCAGGTCCCTCCTGTGCCTCCAGCCCAGGTACTTACACAGGTGGTGAGCGTATCGCAGGTGGAAAACATCACAGCCGTGGACATGGTGGTAGAGGGTTTTCTCTATCAGATCCTGGGGTTCATATCCAGTTAATTCCGTGACCCTGGAAAAGGAAAAATCTGCAATAAACAAAATCTCGAGGAATATTCCATTTCATTGACCCAACATTTGATTGTGCCAACAAATCAGTGCCTGAAAGCTGTGGGATGAAATGTTAGTTTTGGAAACAGAAACCTCACCTTTACAAGAAAAGAAACCCTTTCAGCCCAGCCAAAGCAAGGTGCAGCTTTCCCCTGGTACACCCAGGCAGGAAAAAGAGCTCTTTTACTGATTTCCACCTTGGGCTTTTGCCACTGCCATGCAGGATCCTTTGGACAACGTTCCACTCGAGGAGCTGCTCATGAAACAATAAAACCTCTCTTGTGGGCTGCTGACACATTTTCATTTGCTTTTGCAAAGCTACGAGTGTAGAAGGTGTGTTAGGCCACATATGATCAGGGCTTGTGAATAAATCCAGGCTGGTGCCTAACAGGAGAAAAAAGCAGGAGCTTATTCCAGCTGAGAATGTGGAAAGACAAGGAGGTGTGAAGACCACAGGGTGAGGAAAGGAAAGCTGAGGCAAGACTTCCAAAGAAAAAAATGCCAGAAGTAGAAGAATGGAACGAATTCAAAACAGCAGCATCTCTGCAGATGTTAAAGGATCAAATTCAGAGGCCAGACTTACACTAGGTCAGACATGAGGAGTCAAACTTCATGTTTCAAATGGACTTTTTTTAAATTTAGTTGAGGAAAAAATAGTCCTTAAAGTACAACGTGCCCCTCAGCCAAACTGTGGCTTTTATGCCCAGGGTTGGGGGGGGGTTGTGATGTCCTGGGCTTTCTTTGCCTAAAAAAGGCAGAACAGTAAGGGATGTCCACATTAACAAGTGACACAGTCCCTTAGCAGGTGACAGTGAAATTGTCCCTGCTGAAGATCTTCTCCTGCAGCAACAGCAGAGGCATCTGCACGTTTTAATTGCAGGAGTTTTACCTGGGACTAGCTCTAGCCTAGACCTGTGGACTGAAATATTTATTAAAGCAGGAGTGTCCTAGGTTGCTCTTGGACGTTGTCCTCCAGTTTAGATCGAAGGAATCCAGTTTAAATTCCCCAAGCCTCTTCATGCCATGAACTGAGCAGGGATGGTCAGGACATGGACTTCCAAAGGATGTTCCTGGTCTGAACTTTACACCGGTGAGGATGCACAGCACAGAGACAACACAGGAGCATCCACAGAAATGAGCAGGGCGTCCCAAGCAATTCCTGTCATTGTAGGACTGAGGATAATGCACATTTTATTAGTTTTTTAAAATTTTATGACTACTGTGCATCTTCTGTAGTCATACCCTGACTCTAACCAGCCCAGTGGACCCCACAGAGAGTGAGGATGTTCTGCTTGAGAGGGTTGAGGGCTTGGGTTCTTCTGAAGGACAACAACATCAAAATGCCTTTGAATAGATGCTTGTGTTCCTCCTCTGCAGTGTGTGCTCATCCCAAATCCTCACTGAAGCCAATCAGGAGCACGAAATAATGGTGGAAGACCCTGCTCAGGTTTCAATTCTCCTTCTGACTTCAGTGCACTTAAAAGCAGGGTGGCAGCTCCATCCTGCCCCTTTGGTGAGTAGAGACACAGCTCATCCAAACATGAGCCAGGGGTTCATTTTCCCAAAGGTGCAGTCTCACTTTGAAGCTGGTGATACAAAAACCATCACTGACAGTTCCCAGGACACCCAAATTTTGGAAAAGGTTGAATCTGGAAATAAACTCAGCTGGTTTACTTCCTTAACATCAAATCAATCCCTCAAGCAGTCTGGGCTCTCCAGGTTGTGCTGTGCAGGTGACAGGACACACAGAGCTCACCCCACTGATCAGTTCTGGTCTCCTGAGTTCTTCAAAGTCTTTTTAAACTCCTTGGCAGTGAATGCACCATAAAAATCAGAGTGAGCAGCTCACTTTGGAGGGAAGTGACTGTCTTCTCCTTCTAGTGACTTCAGTGGATGAACTCCAGTGAGGTTTATATTGTGTCAGGTGTCCAAAAAAGGATTTTGAGCTGCTCCTTCCCATGGATTTCATGCTGTCTGCTGTGCCTGTTACGTCTCAAGATCCATCCCCTTGTATGGAAACCAGAACCAAGACTGAAACCAGTTTTTTCTAACTCCTAATATGCCCCTGTTTTCAGCAAATACACTTTGGTTTGCTCAGCTGGGAGAGCAAAAGGCTTTGGTGAAGCTCAATTCCCCTGCTTGTCCCATGCGTGGATGACACCCATCTGCTCCTTGGTAAACACAGCTCTGCAACAGCTCTGGGTCTATCCCTGCTCCTGTCAACACCTCTGCTTGTTCTGTGGCCTTTGAAGACACTTCTGTCTCCAGGCAGTTCCTCCCAGGCACATCATTTCCTTTCCCCCACATGCAAGGACGTGTTGCTGAACCCCTCGTGCTCCTTTGTAGCCACGGCACGAAGCGACGCGTGCCAAAAAATGAGGAAGGGTTCCAGAAACAAGGAGTTCTTTGTGTCCCAGCAGCTGATGGAGCCACTGTCTCCTGGGCTGAGCAGGCAGAAAAGCCTCTTCTTGCATGGTTGACCTCCACTCTCTTGGGTACAGAGGTTTTCTCATACATTCACTGCAAGAATGTATTCCCTGCAAATCCAGTCCACCAGGGAAATGGGGAATGTGGGACCCACAGGAAAGGATTTTTGAAGAATGATCATCTTGTCAGTATTTTGTGTATTTGAGATTTTCCTTTCAAGGTCTCCTGGACTGCACTGGACAAAGTATTGTGTCTACAAAACCAGAGAAATGAATTTCAGTTCTGGTTCTGTGCTCATCTGAGCTCCATCAGCTGAACTGGAGGCAGGGCTCTCCTTCCTCAGCTGTTTTCCCCACTATCTTGTTTAAGAAGGTCCTGGTTTTGTGTGTAGTAGCCAATGGAATCAATTCCCATTCTAACAACTCCATTATTACTGTTGGTTTCATGGTTACAGCATTACACCAAAAGACAGAACTCTCTTTTCTTACTGCTCTCTCAAAAGCTTTCTGGATGATGCCAGCCAGTTGTTTGATCTCAGTATTCCACTTTTGGGGTTGGTTTTTGGGGGTTTTTTTGGTACATCCTCATTCCTTTTGCTAGCTTTGTATGATAAATTTTGTGTCCTTTCAGGTAAAAAAAGTATCACTGTTCCTGTGACCAATCTTCCCAGCAAGAAACTTTTAGCTGACCCTAAAAGTGCAGGTAACTCCAGGTTAAATTGGACAGGCTCTTATTTCTTGGCATTCCAGACAAAGTTTGGTCTATCCAGCTGCCTGAAAGGCTTTGAAGGCTCTGAGTTCCAGATCTAGTTTGGACTGCTGGATTTTTTTTCATGGATGTTTTGACCCGTTTGGAAGCCGCAGCACGTAAACACATGAACGCTCAGTGCTGGAGATGAAAGAGCTGCTTACCTGGAATCGAGGAAAATCAGTTTTAAATCCAAGCTGGCTCTGAACATAAACATGTTGCTGTGGAGCTTGATCTCAGTGATTGCACTGGGAGGCAAAGATTGCCCCACGGCCACCAGCCCCACGATTTGGTAACAGGAGTCGTACAGGGACATATCCAGCATGTACTGGCGGATCTTCAAGTAGCCACTGCAGTGGATCACCTGGAAAAAGGGGAAAACACCCTCAGGATCTGATGGAAAAGGCCCAAATCTGCTGCCCACCCAGTCTCAATGAGCTTATAAAGACACATATTGCTTTTTTATCTTCTTTTCTTCCTGGGTCAGGGTTGGGATTGAAAGCGCTCGCCATGGTACTTCGTGTCCAGACCCAGATGTTTATTATTTCTTATCACTGTTGCAGTCCTACAAGCCATGAGTTCTACAGCATTTCAGTAAAAAGCTACAAAATGGCCCTGTATCTATCTCTACAAGGTCTTTTAAGGATAAACTGTCCAATTAAGAGATGACACCTAAATTATTTTTACTTTTAACCCAATACCCAATCACCCGTGCCCGCAATGGGGACGTTTTATCCAATGACACAAAACCACCCAAACCCAGGGAGAAGAAGGTGAAGAAGAAGGAGCAGCCTCCACCCTAAACCCTCCATCCTGCTTTATATCTATTACTGTATTCTAAACCCTTAAACTCTGAGTTTCCCACCCTGTGATATCACACACTTCTGTTCAAACTGCACACCCACAATCCCAGTTCTGTCATTCCATTTTGGAAGCTTCTCCAGGGCCTCAGTGCAGTGTTCTCCTGGGGTCAGCGCCTGGCAGCACAGAAAGCCCAAAACTCTCAGTATTCAGGGTTCCAACAGACACGCTCCCCCATAAAATTAAATTCTGAGTTGTCTGTTGATTTCAGTCAATTTGTAAATAGAGATTAAGACTTAATAAGTGCAGTTTTGCGTTTACTGGCAGCATGATTAATCCAGTATTGAAGCACCTCCTCTCTGGGGACTGCCTAATTGCTTTCTAATTAATACTTTAAGCTCCTTGATACAGATTTTTTTGGAGATACATCCAGAATTCCTGTTCATTGATTTTAAAAAAGCCCTGGAAGTTGCTTATTTTAAATGTCATCTCTCTCCTACACGCACTCAAAGATGAATAAAAACATTTACATTTTAACGAGTTATTATTCTGATGTAAATAAAGGCACATCAAAAACTGCACTTAAAAAACCCAGTGGGTATTGATGCATCACAACAGCAATAAAAATTAACTGATGTTTATGCAAATGCACAAGAAATGAGTTTTAAGTTCTCTGCTCCAGCTCAGAGGGGTGGGGTTTTTTCTGACATGTGACCAAGCCCAAGGTCCTGAGCTCAGATTTCGGGATCCCTGTGTACAATTGCTGTTCACAGAGGTGATAATGACAGTGTTAGACTGTAAAAATTCAGTGTCAGCTAAAGGGGAGGGGGAAATGTAACCTGGGGACTATTCCAGGCCAGAAGATTTATTTAGTGTGGTGCTGGTGTTCAGAAATCATCAGTGCCCCTGCCAACTTTCTGGTCCAAGCAGCAGAAATATCACATCCCTTTGCTGAATTTCTCTGTTTGTTTGGCTTTTAACCGTGTCCTGTGGAAAGGAATTAATTTTCAGTGTATTTCGTGCTCTAAACAACTACCAAGCACCACCTGGAAACTGGCTCCTCCTGCTTAACCTTCCTCTTCTCCAGTGATTTAAACGTTCAGCAAAAGCACAGTCAGAAGATCTCCCAGCAGATCTCAACTCCCCCATCACTTGGTCTGTGAGTTTTTTCTGTGCTTCAGCTAATGAGGTGATTTCTTAAAAATTAAGTCCTGACTTTAAGCACAGTCAAATGGAATAAATTTAGGCCAACATCTCTCCAGACGAGACAATCCTTTGATTTTCACTGTGCAAACTTTTAATAGTGAGCCAAAGAAAGTGATGCCTCTGATTAACAGTGATAACTGGGAATTTAAAAACCCAAAACCCCCCAAAGCCACGTGGAGATCCCACAATTGAAGCTCTACTCTTTTACCTGATTTCAGATTCAGCTTTGGGACAGAACCATTTTTGTGGGGAGCAGCTGAGCAAACAGGGCTCAGTGTAATGAGGAATTATCAGTGCAGCCAGGTAGGGAAGAGTGCAAACAGACAGATCCACGTCTGCACCTTGAGCACATTCCTGCAGAGAGCTCTGCTCCTCTTCCAGGCTTTGCTTTTTGGGTTTTGAATGACCCAAAATTAATTCCCAGCAGAATGAATGGCAACGACCCTCCCTGATGGAGCAGAGTGAACCTGCAGCTCAAGGAGCAGCAAATGCACAGCTGAAAATAAAAACTGCCTGTAAAGATGACAATAAAAACTACTGCACATCTGAAAATAAAATCTGTCTGCATATCTGGAAATAAAAACTGTCTGTACAGCTGAAAATCAAGACTATCTGCAAGTCTGAAAATCAAAACTACTGCAAATCTGAAAATTAAAACTGTCTGTAAAGATGAAAATAAAAAGTACTGTAAATCTGAAAATAAAAACTACTGAAAATCTGAAAACAAAAACTACTTCAAATCTGAAAATAAAAACTGCCTTCACATTTGCAAATAAAAACTGTCCGTAAGGCTGAAAATAAAAACTACCTGCAAGTCTGAATATCAAAACTGCTGCAAATCTGCAGTAGTTAAAATAAAATCTGTCTGTAAAGATGAAAAGAAAAAGTACTGGAAATCTGAAAATAAAATCTGCCTGCATATATGAAAATAAAAACTACTCAAATGACAGCTGTTATTCTATGACTTCAATGTTTGCTGTGGCTTCTGATTTCATGTCAGAAATAAAAAACATCATACAAACTGTAAGATTTATAAACAGACTTGGTGGTTTAGTACAATTCCACCCTGAGGTGATGGCAGTGGTTGAGTTTTTTTAGTGTTGAGGCCAAGGAGGTGCTTTGTGCAGCTGGGTGGGATGTGGAAAATGTCCAAATTCCTGTGTCTGGGTTCCTGCCTCACCTGCCTCCTGCTCCCTGGGGGAATAAAACCAAACTGTGCTCTCCTGGCAGCTCCAGGGCTGGCCTCCAGAGAATTCCCAGGGACCAAGGGGAGGGAGTGTGCCACCAAGTTTAAATTTGAATTACTGAGGGCATTTTTGGGGATCTTTTCTGATTCTTCTCATCATAAACTTTTCTCTCAGCATAAAGTAAAAACAGGTAAAAATAAAACCCAAAACAAACACCTAGATAAATAAAATTGTAAATTGTCAAATATTTCAGGGGTGGAGGAGTAATTTATAAACATTATTTATAAACATTACCTTGTAGCCACTGCAGGTCAGGCCTGCATTCCTCTTGGCTAGGACACACTTCATCCTCAGGAAAAAGGATCTCTCGATTTCATATTCTGAAAGCACAAAGCACATTTTGCTGCTGATTTATTCCTGAAGATCCCAAACCTGCCAGAACACTGCCCTTCCCTTCTTGTGTTTCAGCTTTAGGCAGAAGCAGAAATGTTCTAGCTCAGCCTGCACAAGGCACCAGCCATTCTCCTTTCCCACTCCATCCCTGCCCTCAGGATTTATTTCACCTTCCTCTCAGGACTCCCTGTGAAATTTGACCAACTTAGCATGATTAGATCTCCAAATTTCTGGTTTTACCACCACTGATGTTGAGTTTAATTTTTTTTTTTTTTAGTGTTGGGGTTAAATGTGTGAGACTGCATTTTTTTGTTTAGATTTAGATGTTTATTCATTTTTATTTATATTGTAGTTTTATAAATTGTGAGTTTTATAGTACTTTATTCATAAACTAAAAAATTGAGCTGTATTTTTTTGTAAGGTCTTTTAAGGATAAATTGTTTCATTAAGAAATAATATGTAAATTATTTTTATTTTTAATTTAATAATCAATTATTTGTGGTTTGTAATGTGGATGTTTTTGTTTATGTAATATTATTTGCATATATATTTTTACTTACATATTATTTACATAATATTATTTAAACTCATGAAGAAGGAGGTGAAGAAGAAGGGCTTTTATTTTTTTAATATCTCTTATTATATTTTAAATTTTAAAACTCTATGTTTTTTACCATGTGATATTACACACTTCTATTTAAACTACGTACTTATAATTTTAGTTTTATTATTTAATTTTGAAAGCTTTCTCTACAGCTTTAGGTTGAATGTAGTGGATTTTGGGGGTCAGTGCCTGCTAGCACAGAAAGTCTCAAATTCTCAGCGACCAGGGTTCCAACACTTCACAAGGAATTCTTTTGTTTCCAAACAAACACCAGTTCCTGATGGGTAAAGGGAAGGAAAAGTGTTCTTTGGAGTGTGGGGAAATTCAGGGAATCTCCAAAATAGCAACAGAATTGGAACAAGGAAATTCAGTGTGTTTGTAATAATTGGAGTGCACGTGGCTGCTCATGCCCAGACCTTCTGGGCTCCATCTGCAGTGCCTGACTTCCAAAACCACCCTGGGAGGTTGTTTTTAAACAAATACCTTCAATGATAACCTCCAGAAAGGTTTAAAGTTCATGGTGGTCATTGCTCAGGTACACACAGACTTTCTGCTAAGGTTAGGAGGCAGGAATATTCTGGTAGACTACCAATAATATAGAATATATTTATTCAATTTATTCTGCATTTAGTCTATTTATTTATTATATGAATAATATAGAATATTTTTATCTGTAATGGTAATTACTCTCAATAATGGTCCAGAATAATTCGGATTTTTTACTGAAGGTTGCAGTTTGGCAGAACTATTTTAGGACAATCAGGGAAGCAGGAGGGCCCTCAGTTTTGTCCTAACTCCCCACAGGGTTTTAACCAAAACCCTCTGTCATCACTTGGGATCTTTCTTTAATTTGATTTAACTGCTGAGTTTTACTCCTGATTTTTGTGCCTCCATCACCCAATTCACCCCTCCAGTGGTCTGAGCCTCACAACCAACAGGTTGTCTATTCTATTTTAATTCTATTTTAATTTTGGGGGTTAAAGGTCTGAAGATACAACCACAGAAAAAGGATTCAGCAAGGAGGGGAAATAAATGTTTCCTGAGCATTTGAATTTCCCATTTATCTCGCTAATTAAAATTAGATCCTTATGGGGAAAGCTGGCAGTTGAAGGAGCTGGCACACCCACTGTGGAGTTTTAAACATTGAGTGTGGGGAAGCCACACAGCAGAGATTTGCTGTGGCTGAAGCCTCATCCCCTGAGTCAGGAATGGCTCCAGAAGCTGGGAACATGCACGGAATTCATGGATTTGACAGCAATGACCAAACACCAGCACAGCAGGGACACAGCAGGGACACAACCCTGTGCCCTGTGCTCTGGGATGACCCTGATGGAGCAAGGAGGTGGCACCAAACCCATAACGACCTGGAGGTGTAACGCCGTGAATTAATGTCCATAATTAATTAGTTTTTTTATTAACTTTGCCAGTGTGACCCCTCAGTACCCTCAAAAGTAGCAGAAATGGGCAGCAAAGCGAAAAAGAACTGAATTAAATTTGCAATTGCAAAGCTGATTGAAAGGAAAATAAAGTTCTGGGATCCTGCTGGATGCTGCCACATCCATCAGAATAAAGCAAAACTCAAAATATCACAGCTGGGTGATTCTTGTGGGTCACTTCCAGCTCAGCCATTCTATTCTATTCTACTCTATTCTATTCTATTCTATATATTTAATCTATTTATTATTCCAAATTCTTGTGGTTTTCCCATCCTTGGAAGTGTCCAAGGCCAGGCTGGACACTGGGGCTTGGAGCACCCAGTGGGGTGGCACTGGATGAGCTTTAAGGTCCCTTCCAACCCAAACCATTCCATGATTTTGTGATTCCATGAAATCAGGGCCCATCTCCATGTCCAGGATATCCATTTCAAATACACCACTGTTTATTTTTTTTTCCCAATTCCATGTTTCCCTTATCAGACTCATCAAAGTTTTTCTGTTCCAACTATAATTTCCATTTTAATCATTATTTCCCTATTGCCTGCTCAGCTTTCATATCTCCCTGCCTGAACAAATGGAGCTGAGTAGATTCAGTAAAAGCTATAAATGAGGCAGAAATTAAATGGCTTAATTCAAATCCCAGCCCAGATTTGTCCAAACACCCACTCAGAGCTGAAACACAGTGACCTGGGAATAAGAACACAGAAAATCCGTGGTGTGGACACAGAGAAGTTGTGTTTCTTTCCCAGAGCACCATTTCTACAAAGGGTCTCCTCTCCATGAATCCCTTTTCTTTTATTAGCACATCCTGCAATACAGTTTGACTTTAAGGCAAGAATAAACCAGCTTTTTTCTATTTTACAGGTTTGTATTTTCATACTCTCATAAACAGAATAAATGCCATGGTAAAGAAAAGGAGTCTCAATATTTTGGATAAAGAATTTGTGCATTTGTTCACTCCCATTGCATCCTGCTGCCAAGCAGGATTGTCCAAGCATTTCTGTGAAATTATGGTTTTGTTTATGGAAGCCAGGTTTGTCCATCCCTAGAGGAGCAACTCTGAAATCCATCTTTGCTTTCCAATCCATCCTTGATCTTTTTTGACAGAAAACAGTCACAGAATCCTGTGGTTGCTCAGTGGAGTGAAGAAAAGAAAATCACCATGAACTTTTTTCCCCACAGCTTCACCTCTCATGCCTTTGTTTTTTCCTGAGGTAAAAGCTGCTCTTTTATCTCCCTTTTCCAGATTTTGACGTTAGCAAAACATGCTCTGTTAGCTGCTCTGTTGCAGAACCACTTTGTAAAGGAATATTCCTAAAACTGCCCATGTGTTGCTTTAGGAATGGGGGCACCTCATCTGTCACTGCACAAAAAAATCTGGAAAGAAGCATTAAAATTGGGAGCTCTTGACCAGCCACTGATTCGTGTCTGCTCCACAGAGCACCTGGGGTGCAAACCCAAATTCCAGCTCTGGTGGAGGAGACGGAAAACGTAAAAGACAGGAATTTTTAGAGCACCTAAAAATGGCCACCTGATTCCACCTCCCTTCCTGTCCACCTGGTTCCTGCCTGGAGCTCCTGCGTCCCGCAGGTGTGATAAGCTGTCCCCATGTCCCTGCTGGACTGTTCCACCCTGGAAACACAGATAACAGAAATCCCCTTCACTGCCCATCCCCCAGACACTCTGCATGGTTTTGTCCCTTTCAGTTGGTTATTTTTTTGGATCTGCTCTGTTCTGTGCAGGCACACGTGCTCCGTTGTTATTCTGGTGGGATCTGCAGAGCATCTGGGGCCCAAACAGCCCAGGGCCTGCTGAGAGAGCTCGGGAGGATCTCAGCTTCTCTGGTGAGCACAAGGTCATGGATTTGTGAGAGACAGAAAGAATCCCAGAATGGTTTGGCTTGGAAAGACATTGAAAATTATCCAGTGCCACCCCTGCCATGGCAGGGACACATTCCACTGTGCCAGGCTGCTCCAAGCCCCAGTGTCCAACCTGGCCTTGGGCACTGCCAGGGATCCAGGGGCAGCCACAGCTGCTCTGGCAATTCCATCCCAGCCCTGCCCACCCTGCCAGGGAACAATTCCTCATTCCCAGTATCCCATCTAACCCTCTCCTCTGTCAGTTTAAAACCATTCCCTCTTGCCCTCATGAGAAGTCCCTCTCCAGCTCTCTTGGAGCCCCTCAGGCACTGGAAAGGGCTCTGAGGTCTCCTGGAAGCTCCTCCTTTCCAGGCTGAACAGGATACAGGACACCACAACTTCCATCCCTTAATCTGAACAAGGGTGACACCAAATTCCAAACCAAAAAAAGAAGTACAAGGCTCACAAAGAAGATATGCCTAAAAAAAAATTTAAAAAAAAAATCCATTTCAGGATAATCCTAGAAGGTGGAAATCCAGGATTGGCAAAAGGGACTTGCAAACATTTCAATTTTCCCTGGTAATGATTTGTTGGGATAGAAAAAGCAAAACCAGTTGTGTTGTCAGCCCATCCTGGAGTTCCAAACTTGCACAAACTGCCCAAGTTTCCTCCCCATTTGGGCAGTTTGTTCTGTTTCCTGCCTGTGTTCAGAATCCTGGCGGTGCTGCAGAGGGGAAATTCTCCATTATCATTCCTATCATATCCAAACTCAGCCATTCACTGACATTTGCCTAAATTCTCCTTTGCTCTTCCAGGTGAAGCTCCCAAAGTTTTCTTGGGGAAGGAACTCAGCAGGAAAGGAAAATAAATTTTTACACTCTTATTTGGTAGATTTTACTGTTAATTACCAATGAAAAGAGATGTTTTAATGAGTTGTTAGCAATTTGCCCTCTTTTTCCACTTTTGTACATCAAAAATTTTAATTATAATTTGTAAATTAGAATTTATAAAATTACTATTTCTATGTTTCTCAGATTTAAAGTAACCCTAAAAAACAGTGGCAATGGGATCATATTAAGCCATCACCT